ATTCTTGGGGCCGCCAGCAAAAGGTTGCCGTTTGCCGAATCCACAAAGATCCTCTCCAAAATCTCTACCGGTAGTTTCTCAATCTTCGAAATGCTTGTCATGGGCTGTGGTCTATCTGCTTCATCCGGCCGTTGTCGTTTGTACGTGCGTTTGCCATCAATCTCGTGACTCGGATCTTCCAAGGATTGATTCGAGAGTTGTCGCTTATGAGAAGACATGTTGATGGCGATAAATGGGGATGGAGATGCAGGATGAGGTAGAGGAGACTCGTCAGGGAAAGAGTCAACAAGGGAATGATAAGTAAGTCGTCCGTGAAGTTGGAAGTCACGTCGCCACGTGATATCGCGCCGCTGACGCATTTTGGAACACTCGTAAAGCCTTCACAATCTCGCTAAAGGCGCACCATCGTTTGAGTCCTTGAAACCCCTCGCAGACCCCCGTCGATGGTCCATGATAGCCTCGTCGTCGTCGACGAAGTGTAGATATATTGTCATTGCTGACGCGTTTCAGCGATAACGGACGCCCGAGACAACCTTCCACCCACCTCATCTGAACAATGGCTCCCTCTCGATAATATTGGCGCCACCATATCTGTCTCTTCGACCACCGTGGACTCTCCCACCCCTTCCTCCCATCCAATGATCTTCAACTGCGAATCCTGGCCCAAAGCCCTGCCCAAAACCCCTCGGAGGACTTCTGCCTCTTCTCGGCTCTCGTAAAATGAAGACAGGTTCTGGTCGTTCTGGTGCTCGTATAGGTCGCTCACTAGCCATAACAATCTCTTCCCATGGTAGACCCCTCGGCAAATGTCTTGGTGGCCGTCGAACTCGTATTTCAGGTTGTCCCCTTCGTCTGGTCAAGAGGTCCTCAGGCGGTACCCTTATGATCTCGTCTCGCTCACTCCACAAGCAACAGAACACCAATAAAAAGGCCATGATGCAGCCAACCACTGTCACTGGCACCCAGACCTTTGCTGATGAATCGCCGTCGCTCATTTTGGAGACCGAAATAGTGTGGTTAGAGTCGATTTGAAATACACCTCCTCCTTAAGTACACTTCAAGGCACAGCTTCAAACGTGAATGACGAACAATGAAAGCTAACGATCACAAACAGCGTCTGTGAAGGTTGCAGTCTCTTATGATCATCTACAATGAAGATAGATGAAAGAATTCTGTGTGCGCTTGGCTACCAAGCAAACAGAACATTGTGGCAGTAGAGTGTCGTTTGCATTTGATACAAAGAGGCAAATCTTCAAACGCATGCATGGCACACCCATTTCTGCAATGCTTGTCCGGCTGTCAAACAGTGTAATAGAGCACACTGCTTGCTCCCAAGTAGCGTAGTTTGATTCTCTTCTTTCTGGTCAAGCCGGCAAATAAGCCATAAAATGATGTTTGACTAGAAAATGACGTTTTGGAAATTGTCAAGCATTTCAGGTTGGTACACGTTGGCGAAGTCGGTCTCACTGATGGCGCCGTATGCAAATGCATCAAGAGCCATTACGTGGTTGAACTCCGCAATATCGTAAGCGTGAGGGTTATTGCTCGGAGGCTGGCCTTGAATATGCTGGGTATACGCTTGCGCATTCGGCTGCTGGACATGGAGATGACTGCTGTGCAATGGCAATGGCCGGCTCTGTCTGGGCAGTGGTTTCGGCACCTCTTCGTCTGTGTCCAACACACCTACGGGTTGTGTTGTCTTGACGGGAGTGGCGCTCGGCACAGCGGGTGTCTTTCGCTTCTGCAACGCAGTCGTCGAAACAGAACGCGGGATATGGTTGAATGAAGGCATGTCGCCGTACAACTCCGGAAACCGCTGAAAAATGTCGGGACCCATTGTCCAGCATTTGATATCAGTCAAGCGCTGATCGAAATTTGTGCTGATTTTGTAGAGACCAGTCTCGACCTCCCGCGTATAGCAATCGCGGAACTCGTATGGCCATAAGAATCGAAGACTTTTGCAGAATAGATGCCAGAATTCGTTTTGGCAGTAATTATGTTCACCGAAGATGAAACGCTCTCGAATTCCCGGCCATGCAAAGAAGTCGATTGCGTAGGAGTGTGCAATGGTCTGCGACGGTCGCCTCATATACCATGGCGGCAATTTCTGATAACGCTCACTGGTCGATTCTGTGTGGAACTGCAAAAGCGTGTGCATTGCCCTCAGAATTACCAGACGTTCAGTCTTAGGACACGATGCAAAGAGCGTCTGATCAATGCGTCGCAGAATCTGCCACGATGGGTGCAGAGGGCCTCGTTGTTCGACCGCATCCCACCCTTCCAACAGCACGCGAATTGGCACATCGTCCGACATTGCATCACTTTCCGGAAACACATTATCGGTCCAATCAAACCTCTCACTCAACACTTCATTCGCGTACCGCCAGTAGTTTCCTTGCCAGACTGGACGACGACCGGGCACACGATCAGCATGGCTGTGACACGAACAAGAGGATGGACTGTTAGCCCAGTTTTTCGCCCACCGCGACGGCATCGGGTTTTCTTCTCTTTTCTTTGCCTGCACAATCGCCTGGCTCATCGGACGTTGGCTGTCCGTGTCCAATCGCACGATTTCAGGCGCAAATAGCATGTCTTGTGGCGGGAACTGGCGTGTTGGAGAAGGTGTGAAATGGGACAAATCGAAGGAATCTGCGATCGCTGCCTCTGCGTCGCCTGGCTCAGTCTTCAATGCCAACGGCGCATCATCTGCCATGGAGATAATGCTCGAGATTCGTTCGTGACCAGGACTTCCAAGAAGATCTATGCTTTGAGCCTGTTCGTCTTCACCCACTCTCGGCGGCCTATGCACGTCCATTGCTTTTTGAATATCTTTCAGTGTTTTGGACATTGTATCTCGTTCCGCCTCTACGTCTTTTAATTGTTGCATGAGAGTAGCCACCTGTCCCGAAGCATCTTTCCGTCTGAAGTCTTCGACGAGACCTTCCAGATAGGCTATCCGGGTCTTTGTCCGTTCGCGGGCCTGTCGCTGGCATCGTCTGTCGATTTCTCGCTTCTTGAGGCGGCGGGAGGAAACGCCTCTGGCATCATTCTGCTCGGCAGGGTCACTCGGGCTGGATCTCTGAGCCATCGTGGAACTTTTCGGCGCCATCGTGTCTGTCTTTATGGAGTCACATGTGGTTTCGAGTAGAGGGACAATCGTGAGAGGTGTAGTGGTTAGCCATTAGGATATAGGGCAGCTTTGAAGGTCATGTCGCAGGGAATGAGTCCTTTTCAAACCTTTTCAAGGTCAAAACCATGAGTGACAACCGACGGACCGTCTGGTTGGTTCGATGGTGCCATCAACCTCGACCCCGGACTTGTATTTGAGTGGAAGAAGGCTTGGACCATTTCGGCACGACCTGCGGGGTGATTAGGCACGAATCTCTATAGGTCAAATTGGTCTTAATGACGGGCATTTGCCGAGGGTCAAAGTTCGGCGTTTGATGCTTACGAGTACCTCCGTACGCCCAGCCGCTTCATCTTGCCTGTCCGCAGTAGAGTTCTGCATCCGAAGATTATGATACACACATTATTGTTGCCGCTCTTCTGTCTCGCCATACCGACGTAGCAGTGGCGCCCGGATAGAAGGAAAGTCTTTCCCACTGAGGATATATCCCCTTCACAGCCTTTCTGTTTTCCCGTCCCTGCAGAAACCATTTCGGCGATCATACATGTTGTGCTGCTGGCCTTAGCCGTGCGCACGGTGTGGCCGACGAACGCTTGCTATCTTCCAGCCGTATTAGAAGCAAGGCAACAGGTTGTGGACAGCGCCCGCAGCTGCACTCAGTCTTCCCTGTTCCATCGCCATCAAGCTGCAACGGAAAGCAGTAAGGATGAAAACCCCCGGAACTTGCCAGGTTTTCGATCCAAAGTCTCCAAGTTAGGCTTTGGTGCTTCGATCGCACTAATTCTGCCCCTGAGGGCTGAGAGATGTCCGGAGTTGCTGGACATAACTCCTGCGCCTGTTGATCCTACAATTGTGTTTTGTATTCTGACTTTGCAGAGAATATGACGATCTTCATTGTCGGATCGAAGCAGAAGACAGTGCAGTCCAATACTGGCCACACATGTCACTAACTCGGACCTCTGATCCCTCACACCTGCAGAAGTTTCGTCCGCGACTTTTCTGTACTGTCTGCATCAGGGGGATGCGTGATGATCTGTCAGAGGACCTCGCAATCGCTGCCGCTCTTGACAATGGTTCGCCAGTCTGCGTTAATGCTCCATCACATGATTCAGATACCTTCACAACTTCATCTTCACCTGTCGAACGATTCACTCGCTTTTCCCTTGTGTCCCCATATAGTCCATTCCCACGATCTTTGACCTTACAAACGCCCAAACCAAGCGGTATGGTGCAATCGGTAACATAGCCTCGTCTTACGGAGCCCCTTCATGATCTCACTTGCAGTCCTGCTTGCAGGGTCTGACAATGTCGAGGCTGGACGTGTGTGTTTCCAATACAATGAGGAAGATTCTAGTTCGAGTCTAGATACTGCTGACATTCTTTTTGCCGTATAGAGCTGCACGGCAAGCGATCGATGAGAGGTATTGTCCCCGGGGCCAGCAGCACTCAGTAGAGGCTCATTCATGCGACATCATTGGGCGAAGTACCAAACTTGATCTTGACGCGAATATTGCCGCACCCATCTCTTCTTGCCTCGAGTATCCATCGCATATTGATCCAGTAGGCCTAGCGTTCAATCTGTATAATCCATGGCACCCTTGCCTGGATAACGTGTGCGCAAGTCGACATATCTTACGTGCTCTTGGCCTCAGTCAAGCTGTAGCAGCAAATTATTGGCTTGGATATCAATCGGAACCTCACCTTAGTCTCTCACTCTCTCCTTAAGAGCACTATGCAGTTACCCGGACATCCACCAGTACCTCACCAATCTTCACTCATCTTGGTCCCTCTGATCCTCATTTGTCGACCTTCTTATCTCTTCAAATACCTATTCCCAGAAATTGTGCAACAAACAGCCCTCTATAGGCTCTCTGGCGGTGTAGTGCAGAGGTTAGCATCTCCTTTTCCCAATCACTAGGCAGGGCCTCCAATCCAACCGGGTTGGCGGTCTGTGAGTCCGAATGTTGGATCGAGAGGAGGACATTGGTTCGAATCCGATCACCGCCATCTTCATTAGAGCATTAGAGCGTGCCGACGTGTTCAGAGGACTTTTCTTTTTGTCACTTAACAGCAAGACTCTTATTTTGGGGTGCAGTGGAGTGCATGTCGTTGCACTGTATGCACATAGTGCGTGCACTTAGCACCACAATGCCAATGGCAAAGGTGCGTTCTGTAGCGTTGTGCGTGGCTTGTGTGGATGTAACAGGAGATTCGCTTTCCTGCATTCCTTTTTCGGCCGCAACTGAATTAATGGGATCCTACCTGCTACGTACCTTTCCTCTGGGCGTTGGTTGATAAACAGGTTAGGTAGTCATGTCGCAGAACAGTAGTGGGTAGTAAGATCATTATCCCGAACTCCTCCCGGTCAGAAACTGGTGTGGCCGCTTCTCACAGTGTCTGGGCAAAGACGAGATGCCCACAATGGCTTCACGATCCGAAACGATCAAGCAGATCATCAGTCCATGATAAATCGACGAAAGTATAAAGAAAAAAGGCAGCGGAAGGAGTTGAAGTGATGGAAGTTATCTACCTGGTAGGTACTTAAGTAGGTACAAAACAAGGAGAATAATGCTCGGGTACATCCACTGGCTGAAAAAATATCCGGTCTTTCCGAGCGCGGCAAAAAGGGGCCACTTCGAAGACATATGTGCTATTCAGCCATTCATCCCAGCCCCCCTATCAATGCAATGTTCTGTGATGTTGTTATCAATCGATGTGAAATTCGCGTTGAGAAACAGTCACTCAGCCCTGCCACTTAATGTGACGTCTTCTCCTCAGCCCCAGTGAAGCTACTTCATCGACCCTTGAAGCATTGCTTCAAGCACTTTACCATATAACTCTTACGACCCCAACCCGCTGGCGAGGATCGTGGCCCAATCTGCAAGGCATCGCGTTTATATCCTTCAGCGCTTTCTTTGGACGGTCTGCCAGCCCTCAGCATCGGCGCCCTTCCTTCCACGAGCAACATTGCCAGGCACAAACTTCGGTGCATTCGGGTTGTACGACCGACCGCTTGAGCCCGATTTTGCACTGTCGCTGCGATCTCGAGACCTCGACCCAGGGTATGGGATCTGGGTGATCAAATTCAAGGGACGTTCGCACGGATCGTGAGAGAATCCAATCTGGACATCTTGATACGGCCCAGCTCGTCGTGCGCGTTTCATAAACTCATCGCGGACAAGTCTGGCGATCACAGTTGAGGAGAAAACAACCGTAGCTGGGTTCTAGTCAGTAATGCAGAACAAAACCAGTAAACAAAGGTACGCACCGTTTCCTGTGTTGAATAGCCATACCAATTCCACATTCTGCTGGCCAACGAGTTCTACGAGATCCTTTCGGAACCGTGTCTCCGACATGCCGTTTGTGAAAAGCTGTTGCCGAGCGAAGGTCAGACGACGACGCTCGTTGCTTGGATGTGTCATCCGGTGGAGATCAGCATTTTCTGGATATGCTTCGCCGAACTTGATCATGTTGTTAGGTCCAAACAAGCTGACGCCATAATCGCGGCGAGAACGAGAGTCTTCATCCACCAAAGCTATGGCTGCGCTGGCGTGTTGAAGGATCACACACACCGCCTCATGTTGATGGACGTATACCATGGAGAAGATGGCTCCGAAGCAGATTCGTTCTGTCACGACACTCAGCGGCTTGTCTTTTGTCCATCCATATATCCAAACACAGCGGTAGTCCTCATCATTGTGTTTGGTCTTTAACTCTTCCTCAGGCACTTGGCGCTTTAAGCCGTCAGAAGGGCGGAACTTGACCAGACGGTTATTGCCTGGTATGTCTGTTGCAGCCACGGCTGCCCAGGTGGATGTGTTGGCTCTAGCCTTAGAAGGGCTGATGGTACGAGCATGTTGGATTTTGATTGCAGGCACGACTCGCATCAAGAACTTGTCCATCGCCCAAGGGCCCGTGGTCTGATTGAATGTATCGAGCATCGAATGGACATCGCGGGCAATCTCATTCGCTGCTTCATTTTCACCTTGGCTTCGCAGCTGCATCTTGATTAGTCCAGCAGACCCATGCCTGGAAGGGCCCTTACATGTTCAACGACCCTACTCAAATGGCTCAGGGCATCGGCCATCACGTCGCTGACATGGCCCGGCTCGTTCTCAATCGCCATCATATCCTGTATTGATGCCTAATTAGCAAATCTTGAAACCAGCACATGGCTTTCCTCGCTTGGAAGCTAGGGGCAACCCTACCTCAGAGACTGGAGAACTACAGTCGCTGTAGGTCAATGAGGGTGGATAGGTGTGGTTGGTCGAGAAGTTGCTGAAAGTGCGCGATGGGAGACTTGGAGGTGAATAGGATGAACGTCTGGAAGCCATGGTTCAAGAAGAGGTCAGGCAGAATTCACTGCACCGACAAAAGTATCCTGAGGCAGTTTGGTTTGTGTGAAGATTGACCGTTTGAGTGAAGGTCGTCAACAAAGAATACTTTTGATGAAAGTCTCGGAAGGGATGGAGATGACTTGTCTGAGGGCCTGCACACGCTGCAGCAGCTACCCGTCAGGAGGGTTGGCTCTTTCCTGAAAGATGTGAGGAATACTGATGTTCTGGACCATAAGTGTGAAAATGTTTGCTTGTGCTCGGTCGTGATGGAAATTCATAATATTTCTATGCAAGATCATCGCGTGCCTTGCTCGGCGTTAGATAGCCTCCCCTGTACATCTGGATCATCGCAACAAACCCAAAAACGCGCCTCGCATAATGCTTAACAAAAATATCACAATAGGTGCCACCTACTATCATGCTGGAAATCGTATCGTGCAATCGTCATATCCAATCGTGAAGATTGGTCCCCCATTCAACGCCAAAATGCCATCCTGCTGCCCAATTCTCTGCCCAATGCTTGTCTGGCTTCGACGGTCCTTCCGACGGCATCTTTGTTTTCATGGGCTCTTCGCAGAAGATATTTCATACACTCTCCCAGCTTGCCCCAAACCAAATATTTGTATGCTTGAGGGATTTCCGCATTGGTGTCGTTAGACCCCGACCTGGCCCTTGCTGTCTGTACCACCTCGCAGCTAACGTTATCTGCCATTCCCATCAGCTGACCATATGCTAGTTCGATACGCGGCTCGCCCTCTTGGGCCTGCTCATCACGCAGCCGCTCGGCAAGCCTCACTGACTCGGCATTATGGGTTGCTAGTACCAGGCTGACTCTAGGAAAGTCTGTTGAAGCACCATCAACTGGTTGGAGGATACCCTCGTACCGTCTTTGCATGACCGCTTTCGCGATGCCGTTGTAGCATTCGTGCGTTCCCTCGATTGTTGGCCAAAAGAGGTTTCGTGGATCGCTACCAAGGTATGCGCCTCGAACAAGCTTGACCCCGAGCACGAAGTCTTCCTTCCTTGCCATCTCAAGGTGACTGGCTAGGTTTCCCGGAGTGCTTTTGGCATATGCTTGGTAAGTCCCGAACACTAATGCTCTCTCCTTGTTGTATCTCTTTGCAAAATACATTGTCCAGTTGTCGATGCCTTGTTGCAGGGAGGCTTGCTCAGCATCGAACAGCAGCTTCACACCCTTCTCTTGAGCCGATTTGCAGATTTCATGTACGGCGTCTTCAAACTCACGAGAGCAGGGAATCGTGGCTTTGAGGTGTTGGAGTGCCTGACGGCCAGCACCAGTGAACTTCAAAGCGACGAAATCACCTTTCTGGGCAAGACATACGGTGTCGACGGTGTTCCTTCTCCAGTTTGCAATCTCTTTGGCGTTCAACGCAGCTTGCTCTGGGGAGTCTAGGGACGCGTTCAAGCCTGCCGCTTCCTCATCCGTCAACACTGCTTCCTTTGCATGTCCTAGAATCACTCCGGTATATCCAATCTCTTTCAGGTCAGCGATCGTGGTTCTGGTCTCTGAAGGCGTTTCTCCAGCACAAAACTGGACGTAGAAGGTTTTCTTCAGGAGGAAATGCAAGATTGGGTTGCGGTCTGGGTTGAAAAGAGGCGACTTTGTATGGGCGAGGAATGACATGGCAGCCAAGGATGGCCGGAGGAGGAATGGCAACGAAGATATTGACGTTATGAGATATGACCGTATGATGGTGGATAACGGCAAGCAGGACAATGGTCTTGAGCGCGGAATTTCAATCGGCACCGGAGTGGTCTCGGCGACACTGGAGGCTGTGGAAGAGACGTGCCGTCTTGTATGCGCCCTTCGGCGTTGGTGTAAGTGTCGAGTGCCATTGCTGGCAACGGAGGTGACTCGACACAGGCGGATCTGCTCGTTACATGTCAACAATGACGGAGCTGTAGAGGGTCGTAGATAGACGACCTGTCGTGATAGTGACGTGAGCCGCAAACAATGGTCCATCTTGGAAAGAAACAATGCAATAAATCAACAGAACATTGGAAAGAAAAGTAAAGAAACAGAGGCAATATGTACACTCGACTCAAACACAGATCCACCGGAGGTGGTACATGCGGTTTGACGAGAACAACGACAGATAAAGAGCCGCAGTTGTAAACGCCAACATGACGATATGGGTCCTGATAAGTGGTTTGTAGCGGAAATCCGACCGGTTGTCGTCGGCGCAGGCCACATTCCTTACCGAAGCTGGCCGAAAGTAAGCGAGTCACGTGATGACAAAGCAGTTTTGACAGGCGCAAACTGGGGCATGGACTGATCCAGAATGTGAAATCGCCGGCAAAGAATGGATAGGATACCCGCTTGAAGTTAGTCGAAGATACCTCGCTGTGCATAATCGCATGTAATCCTGCGCAGCAAGAGAGTATCGTGGTCCGGCATCGCTCGGGTATCAATAATCATTCGACTCAACTCACCTGATGTAGCTGTGTGCGGCCGAAATCGCGATCAATGTTATGCCTTCGAGTCCATTGTGGCATGTAAGTTTTTATGTAGTGAGAAGGTAGGCAAGCCGTGGTGCGTAGGCATGTTGGAGAAGGATATACATCGCTTTTCTTGCAGCATCTTATGAATGTCGTTGCCAACGCAAAAGCAGCCGACGTGGTAAATCCAAACACGCGATTTGTACCCAC